AATTCCAAATTTTTCTTTCAAATAATTTTTATTTTCCCAAATATATTCAATCTCATCTGAAATAATCTTCAAAGGATGCCTATCAATAGATGTGTTATGCGTTAACACCGTAAAAACTAAATATTTTTTACCTCTATGGAAGGGAGTTACCTCCCTTATAGCATTTGTTTTAAAAATCTTCATTGTAGTATTTAAATTTAGTTATTTTATATAATTTTTATATAATTATATTATTTTTATATAATTTTTCTTCATCAATTTTCTATAGCCACAGAAGAAAATAATTCGTGTATTGAAGGGATTAAACTAAATAAATAGACATAATACGTCTAAATTATTTAACCAAGCATGCTTGAATATATATATATATATATATATATATATATATATATATATATATATATAAATAGTGATAACAAAGATAGTGGGAAGCCAGAAATATTGCCATGTACTGATGTAAGTCAACCAATCTTTGCAGTAATATGTTCGATATCGGAGACAGAGTTTTAATAGCATTAATAAAAATATAAAATTTGTCACTTAGCTGATTTTTGCTATATTCAGCAAGCCGACTATTTGCTGATACTTCACAACAAGTGCGCCGAAAAATTTCAAAAATGTACGTCAACGAAGCTCTGCAGTCGGGGTGCTAAATATAACATGGATCAGTTAAGTGACAAATTTTATGTTCATATTAATCTTATATATATATATATATATATTATGAATAAAAATGACAATAGGAAAACTAGTTTGTTTCGTCCTATGGGACTTTATCAAAGCAAAATACGAAAAAAAAAAAAAAATTTTATTTTATTTTTTTTTTCGTATTTTGCTTTGATAAAGTCCACATTGACGAAACGCGTCATCAATTACCAGTTTTCCTATTGTCATTTTTATTCATAATATTGTCTCTACCGATTAAATCAGGAGAAATTTATATATATATATATATATATATATATATATATATATATAAGTGTATATATAGATTGTTAACCAAATGACGCACAGTAGTCAAAATGGTAAAGTGATATTACCTGAAATTACTCTCAGATGAAAAAGCGTGAAATTCTTGACACGTCTTTTGGTAATTTCAAAAATCATCTTCATTACCACCGCAGGAATATTCTAAAGCATGGTGTACAAATGGATAATTTACTGCCTTACGAGATTTGTTAGGCGTTTCCGGTCTGCGCTATTATCATTATCCTTTGTGTGCTATGTTTCCTTCTTTGTATCCTGTAGAGCCGAGTCCAAACTATGGTCCTTATACCCTATACGAGAACTGTCATTTTATTGATAACACTTTCCTTAGTATATGGAATTTTCCTAGCAGGACGATCTTCTAGGAACCATGTATGTTGATGTTACGTGAGACACTGTTAGTAAAATTGTCAATTCCTTTTCTCACGAGGTCCAAAGCTCCGATTACTATTAGTACTGTCTTCATTCCCCATATCCTATTAATCTCGATCTTCACGTCTCTGTAGTTGCAAAATTTCTCGAGAATTTTTATACAGGTATTTCTCTCAGTTGTCCTGCTAAGCATACACTTCCTGAATTTCTTGTATTTTATGATAATAACAGGTTTGTTGGCTTTTATTTCCTTGTCAGTTTTATTTGGCATGTCCCAGAGGATAGTTATATCGTTATTTTGGGTAACTGTGTCTAGTTTGTGGTCATACTATGTTTCAGTGATTTCGATTTTGTGCTACATATCTTCCAGTGCACATATGTCGCTACCTTGTTATGTCTGGGCATATTATTTTTTTTTTTTGCTAGTTCCGGACATCCTGAAATAATATGGTCAACAGGTTCATAATATTTTCTGCAGATCCTGCATTTCGGGTTAGTCCCAGCCTTGATTATGTGATAGTGATAGTATCTGGTTGAGAGGCTTTGGTCCTGAGTTGCAGTTATTATTATTATTATTATTATTGCACTGTGAAATAAATTTTGACTTTTTTTTCTTTGGCCAGTAAGTGTTATATACTAATTCTTTATGTCTAGAACGAAACAAAATGGCTAATATTATGTTCAAACTTAGCTTTTGTTACCTGGAACAGATCTGTCGCATTAGTTCGCTGTTTCCTGGGGAATCACAAGGCTGTAAGCCATAAGGAGCTTGTTGAGACACTGGTAAAGAACTATGACAAAATGGGCTGCAGAACATCCGCCGAAATCCATATTTTTGGCGCTCATCTTGATAAATTCAAGGAGAGCATGGGGATGTACTCAGAGAAGCAAGGCGAGCACTTCCACCAGGAATCATGGATCACTGAACTACGCCACAAATGATCATAAAAGAACACATAATGGGGGACTATATTTGGGGGCTGATACGTGGAAGTAATTTACAGTATAAGCGTAAATCAGGAAAAAAATACTCACTTCTAAATTTTTTGTAGTCTCTCTTCTCTAAACCTAGAGTGAATAAATGATACTTTTAAATCATATGTTGTTTTGTTCTTACTTTGTGTGAACAAGAATATTCGGACTCGTCAATTTTCCCAATGAGAATAGATAAATTTCAAATAGATCATTATCCTGGTCACAAGAGCAAAGTTTGAAGCATCGACTGGGGACCCTGTGGCACGTAGTGCACGAAGTCTCTGTATTCGGCCCTTCAAAAAGTGTGGTTGGTTCTGTACAAAGCCTTCACCACTATAATCAAATCTCATGTGCTGATGTCGGGCTCTCAGTTTCCTAGGAACTGATCAGCGTGACCCACATACGACTCCGAGTGAAACAACATTCAAGTATATCTATTTCAAAGCAACAAAAGTTTTTCGTAGTGCGTCGTTTTTATTCTTGATTCAGCTGGCTACAAAATTAATTGTTTTAACTTCCGTACCTCAAAATATTGACCGAAATATATATTGACCGTTGTTATCGTCCATAGTACATTAGAAAAACTAGAGAGTAAACAAAACAAAGAAATAATGTAATTAAAAAAATTAAAATAAAATTAACGTGGCTATGTCGGACATACTTATTAGACAATATATTCTAGCTTTAATTTCATAAATATACTTTTTAAAATCTCTAATGGGCTGTAAGCAAAAATTGTCAAGGAACACATTTTTATTTCAAATTATTGTTTTCAAATGTCCGTTTTAAATAATTTATTCCGTAGTGTAAGAGGATTTTAGTGGAAAGTATCAATTGAAAAGTCGGACAAATCAAATTTAGCCCGACTTCAATTCGGTGAAAATCAAACGCAGTAGCAGCATTAACTCGTCGAACAGAGGGTTTCAGTGAGAGTGTGATTGGGTTAGTGTTGAGGAAACATGATATCAGTCAGCAGTTGTGATCATAAACGTACAATAAATTAAACCAACAATTAACAGATGCAGAGATACATAAAAACACTAACAGACATATATACAAACATGCAGTCGAGATAAGATACATATGTTATTTTTTTCTTATATGTCTGGCATCTTTTTAAATAAATGTTTATTTTTATAGAATTATTACGTTTTATATAAAAATACAAATATTTGTTGTTTTTTTTAAATTTCATACACAGGGACTTTTAAAACTTATATATTTTAGTTAGGGGAACAGAATTATTGTAGCATCAAAGTTATACCAATAGTATAATTTGGTAAAGATTGTAATGATCCCGACAAACATTGATGAGCTATTTGTATCTATAAAAAAATGTTTAATATATATATATATATATATATATATATATATATATATATATATATAGTAGGAGGTGTTGAGTAAGATAAAAAGTAATGTTTCTTCGATAAATCGAATATTTCTAGTTCGAATTTACTTTTATACCCATCTATACATTTTAAAGTGTGTGCAAAAGTTCTCAGCGTTTCTATCATTATTATTATTAAGACCCGATTTTGTTCTGGGTGGACGCTGGGCAATTTTGTACACAACCTTCAAAATTTTAAATTTACTATTCTCTTTCTTTTAATTTAAAAAAAAAAAACACATTTCCATTCAGGACGTAGGCGATCATGGCTCTGCACTCTTACTTTTTAATGATTATCTGTGAATTACCATGCCTTTTTTGAGAAATACAGTTGAGTCGTTTTCAGTTGTCTTCTGTCGATTGGGAATTCAAACTATTCTTTCTCCTAGACAGGTTGCCAACCAAGTCTACTTAAGCTGCTATTAAACACATAAATGTACTGTTACTGATAGCCTTTTCGTGACAGAAGATACATCGTTTTTTTCTGTTTAGCTCCATATCAACATCTAAGGGTTATTTTATGCCGAAATTTACATATTTGGATTTTGGTTGGTTGTTATTGTTTAGCGACATATCAAAAAGTCTATGGGTTATTTAATCTCGAAATCTATATACTTGGATTTTGGTTGGTTGATATTGTTTAGCGGCTTAGCAACACCTCTCTGGGTTATTTAATGCCGAAGTCTAAATATTTGGATTTTGGTTGGTTGGTATTGTTTAGTGGCATAACAACATCTCTATGGGTTATTTAATGCCAAAATCTAAATATTTGGATTTTGGTTGGTTGGTATTGTTTAGTGGCATATCAACACCTCTATAGGTTATTTAATGCAGAAATCTAAATATTTGGGTTTTGGTTGGTTGGTATTGTTTAGCGGTATGTCAACACCTCTATGGGTTATTTAATTCCGAAATCTAAATACTTGGATTTTGGTTGGTTGATAGTGTTTAGCGGCATATCAACATCGCTATACATTTATTTACCGCAAAAGACACCCAACGTTGCCACATCTGTTAAAGAGAGAGTATGACCGAAGCTGAACAAAAAAGCAACATCAGCGCTGCCTATTTTGACGGTGGTTCAAACGGTGGTATTACTTGAAATCGAGTCGTAGTCATCCTATATGTATTAAGTTTTTCAGAATTCGGCTTTTTTTTAAATAAATGATCCGCATATACTGAGAATTATAGTTGAATGAACATTTGGGATAAAAGAAAAATCAGGAAATTTTTCTACTGACATTTTTAGAATGTTGAAATCTTGCTTCCAGCCAACATGGCCTGTCAGGAATTTCATATCGAGTTAGGTCGACTTGAATGGCATTTTTTAAATGTGCTAAATATCGAAACTGGACAGAGTTCCCAAAGTATTTTCTTTAAAACATTATTTCCTTTGCATCATATAAATAAACATTTACGCCATATAAGTTTCTTTCATAATCGCCTCTGCCTTGATTATTTCTCAGGGCTTGCATTTGGTTAACATTAGTATAAAAATCACCATTATCTCTTCTGTCAGGATGATTTTATCTTCTCTTTCATGTTCTTTGTAATTCCTTTGTTTGAATATTAATCAACTTCTTGCTACCTTTTGCTGAAGGCTTTAATATAATTTCTACCTTCCATTCTTCACGAGTTTCACTTCTGCTGTTTATAGATAAAGATTTATTTTGAATTATTCAACCTGTTAGACAGACTTTCACTTTTAAATTTGTAAATTAATTAGTTTCCTTATTTTTTGGTGAGGATATTGAGACGATGTCTTGCAAAAGATACACATAGTCTACTTCTTCAAATTTTTTTGCCATTTTAATTACACTTTTATAGCTACTGGAATCTTCGATCATATTTGGAAATCCGTCTTATTTGGATTTGCGAATTTCCTTTGATGAATCATGTGTTTCTATAAGGTACATTATTGTTATATACCATATCTATCAACATTAATGGGTATGTCCCAAACCTCATAAATAACTTGGACACTATTGTAAGTGGGAGTAAAAAGGTGTTTAAGTAGTCCATCATTAGCAGTGGTTTACCTACTTCATGCCGCTGGCGAGTATTGTATTTTGTTGATTTTAAAAAGATTACCATTTCATTTCCAATCTCCATTTTGGTTATTCCTCATTCAGTAATCTTTTCTAGGTTACGACACTATCTCACCGTTGATATCTATCTATCTATCTATCTATCTATCTATCTATCTATCTCATTGTTCATATATATCTATCTATCTATTCATCTATTTCATCAGTAAGATCTATCTATCTATTACATAGCGTACCTATGAACATTAATGGGTATGTCCCAATCCTCATAAATACGTTGAACGCTATTGTAAGTGGGAGTAAAAAGGTGTTTAAGTAGTCCATCATTAGCAGTGGTTTTCCTACTTCACGCCGCTGGCGAGTTTTTTTTTTTTTTTGTTGATTTTATTAAAATTACCATTTCATTTCCAATCTCCATTTTGGTTATTCCTCATTCAGTAACCCTTTTCTAGGGTACAACACCATCTCACCGTTGCTGTGTCGAACTCTCTGCTAGAAGAATAGGCAGTGAGCAACCCGGACGAGGCTATGCCGAAGTGCAGATTCTCGTCCGGGGAGGTAGACAGATACCTGATCCCGCGTATGCAAGGTCTACGGGCAATTTTTGCCCGAGCCCACGGGCTCAGATTTCTCCACATTAAATTTGGCCTTGCACCGCATCCTACTTCGTGGGGAGGCAGGTAAATATCGTAATATTCTGTTTACGTAGTCCACCACTAGCAGTGGTTTATCTACTTCACGCCGCTGGCGAGTATTGTATTTTGTTGATGCTATAAAGATTAACATTTCATTTCCAACCTCCGTTTTGGTTATTCCTCATTCAGTAAACTTTTCCTTGGTTACAAGAACTATACTGAGCAAGTATCCTTTTGGAATTCCTAGAACGAAGATCTTCGTACTGCCGATACATTTTCCGAAATATCAAATACAGGAAACTGAAAGTCATAACGCATGTTTTAACTTTGAGAATTCGGTTGGTTTCATTAACATAAACCTTTTCTAGATTGATATTTCTACTGATTATTCATTTTTCAATTAGTGTCTCCTGAACAGTTTAATACCTATATTTGAACTACTGTTTGAACTTTTTTGAATAAGTCGATTTTCTTTCGAAAAATACTTTTAATTAAATCACTACTTCGCAGTTAAATAATTTCTTTAATTTAATTTAATTTTATAGAACTTCATAGTAAACAATAATTGTTAAGAAAATATCTTTTTTCCCCCATTTTCTTTTTTAACAGCAAAAAAAAAAGAAAATTAAGATTTCTTACTCTTGAGCATGCAACATACAACTGATCATGCATAAATATTTATTTCCGGAGCTAAATTTTAACCTGGGTTTGGCCTTGTGATTTGTTTATATTTCTCGCAAACACAGGGCGAACCTAAAACTGGATTCTTGTAGATAAAATCATAAAGTAAAGAGATGCAAAAGTAATATTTTATATAATTATTATATTATTTATTAAGTATTTGTTATTTTAATCATTAAATTGTTTTCAAAATAGTGGGAGTATTTTGTATGTTAAATAATATAACTTTTAATGTTTCGAAAAAAAATAATCAAAATTTGTTATGCTAAGTTAAACTCACAAGTAAAACCAACTTTAATTTGTACCCCCTTACCTGTTTGCACGTCTCCCTAAAATTTTGTTTCGATCTGTCAATGTATGGCAGCTTTATAGAGTGCAACGGACAGACGGACGGACTAACGGATGTCACAGAAGTTTATATATAGATAGTCAAAGCAAGCAAGAAGGAACTCTTGGTATTTTTTTGAAGTAATAAACAATTTTTGAGAAATTGGCTGCAATGAAAATATTTTTTTCTTATTTTTCAATATATGAATAACCATTTGCCATTCCTTTGTCATCTAACTGCTTGAATGATAGTCGTAGACGGTCAATATATATATATATATATATATATATATATATATATATATATATATATATATGTGTGTGTGTGTGTGTGTGTGTGTGTGTGAAAATATATAGAAAATAGGAAGGAACTGGTTAGGTAAATAGTCCAAAGTTCCTTAGTATTTTAGTTATTATTTTTAAAAAATAGTGCTCGATAAAAAAGTAGAGCATAAATATAATTATTTATTTAAAAATATGATTCCAACTTGCGACATAAGAGGTCCCATGTTTCAAAACAAGAGCCGAACACTTCAATATAATTATTTGAATTAAATTGAGTTAAAGTAAGCTCTGTTCCATCTTCAAGCGAAATTTTTTTGGGAATAACGTATTTCTGAAATTTACGTGTTTTAATAGTTGAAATCAAAATTTCCATGGTAACAGCTAGGGCGAATTTTTTAAATTGGGTAGGCGTGTGTTGGGGGTTAATAATAAGTATCAGTCTAGAGTTACTTTCATAGATGTCAAGTCAGGGTAATGTGGGGGTGTCTAAATTTGAAACGGAAGATATATATATATATATATATATATATATATATATATATATATATATTAGTCTTCTAGTAAATTGAATTGAGGTCTCTGAGTCACTGGCGTATTTCGTATAGAGAAAAACGTTATAATTCCCTTCCTCTCTGCTGCGTTGATAGCCTAGAGGTAAGATATCTGACTTGATTTTAACATTCTAAAAATGCCAGTAGAAGAATTTCCTGTTCTTTCTTTTATCCCAAATGTTCAATCAGCCATAATTCTCATTATGTGCAGATCATTTATATATATAAAAAAGACGAATTCTGAAAAAAAATAATACATATAAGATGACAACGACTCGATTTCAAGCAATACCACCGTTTGAACCACCGTCAAAATGACAGCGCTGGTGTTGCTTTTTTGTGCAGCTTCGGTCATACACTCTCTTGCTGAGATGTGGCAACGTTGGGCGCCTTTTGCGGTAGCTGGTAAATAAATATATAGAGGTGCTGATATTCTGCTAAACAATATCAACCAACCAAAATCCAAATATTTAGATTTCGGCATTAAATAACCCATAGAGGTGTTGATATGCCGCTAAACAATACCAACCAAATTAAAAAAAAATAGTTCTCAAAATTTAATTCATTTTCGCTTTCCTGTCGTTACGACCCGTGAAAAAGTTTCGCGTGTGCCTCTTCAAAGAACTGAAGCCTTCAATAAGACATTATTTGTGTAAGAGAATTATTTTGTTTAGCGATCTACTGAGTGATTTGCGCATAACCTCTTCACTGGTTTCAGACCTCAAATACAAACTAGACTCCCACAAGCAATGGGGTGACGGTATCCCTGTTGTCGTCCTAAAGAAATGTTCTCCCGAACTGGCTCAGTTTTCTCCAAACTCTTCAACAATTGCGTTCTTCTTCCTGCTTTCCAACTTGTTGGAAGCCTTCCTCCGTTGTTCCTGTTTTTAAAAACACTGGAGAATCCTCAAACCCCTCAAATTATAGTTTCTTACCACTTTTCGGCAAAGTATTCGAGGCTCTAATCAATGCTGAAATGATAAAGCATTTTACTTTGCAGGACCTTCTCTCGTACAAACAATATGGCTTCCGTTTCGCTATCGTATTATTTTGGATCGTTAGTCGTCCGAATCAATCATTTCATTCTAAAAAAAACATGGATTGTCTGTTAAGAATCATGCTAGATGTGTTTATTATGCAATACATACATAAACAAAAAGCGATAGTGATTTTGTAAATGTTTTTTTTTTCTTTTTTTTTTTACCCAAACTCTCAAGAGTTAGAAACAGAGAATAACCTATGCGAGTTTCCGAGAATTCACGAGACTTTCGAAGGAATTGATATACAATATTGGTGACGAAGAAGGTCAACTATTCAACATGAGTAAGTGTCCTTTGACATGTTTACAGCCTGGTCAGTACTTAGATGGGAATAAAAGGTGCTTTTAAGCTTGGATGTGCGGGTGGTGTAATGGATATCGACTGGGAATTTTTAATTGCAGAGCCAAGTTCGAATTCCGGTTGGGTTTGTTATATTCACTTACGCGAATAGAACCTAAGGTATTATTCCACCTCTTCTCTTCCCATCTATGGGCTAATTAATAAGAGTTGTATTACAAAAGCATTATTATCTTAAAAGAAATACTTAAAATTTAAAATACTTTATTTGGGTTTAAAAAGCCTGCAAAAGTTTGATAAAAGAAGAAAGAAGATTAATCATCTAATCAATCAATCGGTCAAACTTGGTGATGACAGCTACAGCCCTAAAGACATGTTGAATCAAGAATACTTCTAACACGAGAGAAGATCCTGGGTTTGGAGTTGGGTCTCCATAAGTCCTTTTAGAGACACTTCTTAGATTTCCTTAACATCACGCAAAAAAAATGATGCTGCTTACATTTGCATGAATTTGGCAAGTTTAATAAACACTTATCTACGCAAGAACGTGAGTAAATATAAATATGTAGGTAGAGAAAGATATAATAGCCTTCGTGAATGCAGAAATGAAAATGGGCCTTCAATTAAAGATTTCCGCTTCGACGTACATTTCTTTTAATGGCATTTAATGTTCCTTGATAATGACGAAAATTCGTGACGTTTTGAGCGATCGATTCGTTACTTGGAGAGTATGGAGGTGGGGGGTCATGGCGGTGTAATCCCGTCATGCATTTCGACTTGTTTGCTGATTTGAAACAAAATATTCGTTTTTCACTCGCATTCTATTTAACAAAATATGACACACTAGAACAGAGGAACGTAAAGATGCTGGTTGGTTTGTTGGCTGCTTGATGTAAGAACATATCAAGCTCGGATGACTGCATACGTCAGTCAATAGCTAGTGTTTTATACCTGAGACGTTAGCATCATATTGGCCATGCTTATAGTATAGCAATGATTCTCAAACATTTGGTCACTGGGACGGATTTTGTCCAGTGAAATAGTTAAAGGGAGATAACTATGTATTCTCAGTCAGAACATTTTCTTTGATAACTCTCTCCTTCAATTTGCGGACCTTAGTTACTATATTCTTAATAGTTAATATAATTATTTACATAATTAAAATAATTATTTACAACTCATGCATTAAAATACAATTAATCAATAATTTGGCACATGAATTTATTGAAACTCTTTCTAAATCATTGATCGGCTTTCAATCATTCCGCCTCACCTGCTATCCTCGTTCGCCGCAACTTGAGTCGCGCCACAACGTTTTGGGACCACTATACTAGAGTCTATATGTAGACACAACTTAGTTTTAAACGAGAGACTATAGGTATATATAGTTCGTGTTATACTTGGGATAATATATACGTTGGCCGCGTTTTAGAACAGAAACCTATAGATAAACTTCAAAAGTGTTTATATTTGAAACAATAGGTAGGAGTTTGTCGTGTTTATAGCTGGGTCCGTTGATAAATTTGCTTGTTTGTTTGTGTAACGATATATCATCATATGGATCATTTAATATCGACATTAGATTTTCTTGAAAGCATTAGAAATATTTTTTACAAAAATGTATAACTGGCAATATTTTGTTTTTATTTAAAAAAATGTATTACAGGTAATTTGTTTTCTTTTTTTACAAAAATGTATTTCTGGTAATTTTTTATAATATGGAAATGTATTTTTAGTGTTTTTACTATAAAATGATTTATACTTCCATCGTGTTTTGACCACAGATTGGGTGTTAATAACAGCAATTAAAATATGGTTCTACCCTGCTCAAAAACTTCTGATCAAAGGACTTACTGTCGTATGTAGTTTATATTCAAGCCTAGGGAAGTTGTTGATAAATATTAGGGCGGTTTATATTTGGACCAATAATCAGACATTGGTTGTGTTTCAATTTAGGGCGGGGAATGATATTAGTCCATTTTATATCATATTTCTCTGTATGTATAGCAATAATATGAATAGGCTTAACACATAAGACACATACATACACAGATACGCACACAGATATATGTATGAATATATATATATATATATATATATATATATATATATATATATATATATATATATATATATAATACTCGTATTCGAGGATGCCTATCAAATAGGGGCTAGCCAGTCCTTATTGCAGACCCTTGTTCAGGCGCATTTCTGTTTATTCAACAACCACAGAGTCCACCTGTGTTTTATACTGTTCCTAGACTGAGCAGACCTTGCGTTAGAGTTTCTGGGAGATAGCATGATATCTAGCGTGATCCACAATTTGAACAAGGACAACTCGCTCAAGCCCTCGGCCACGATGGCTTATTATTATGATTTATTATATTGCGATGACTTCGTGCTATGTATCGATGGCCTCCTCCCAAGTGCTCGTCTACCCAATTACACTCACAAGGGGTGGAACACAAGGCTTCCTGACAAATCGGTGAGATTCTGACTTGGGTCTGAAGGTCAGAATGAGAACCACTCGGCCACTTACTTTTGCATATGGTTTATTTTATTTATTGTTGATAAATGTTTCTCAAAACAGTGGTTTTAAATTTCCCTTCTATGTCTTGATCGACAATGTTCGTTTAAATATTTCCTATAAGTTTCGTTGAAATTGATCTGTTATTTTTTGGGATATGTAAGAAAAACCATTGTGTTAAATACTTTTGCTACCCACTATATATATATATATATATATATATATATATATATATATATATATATATATATATATCAAATATGGATAGGAATTCGAAAGAAAGATAGAACAAGCAAGAAATGGGAGAACTTTATAAATCTAACGTTTCGCTTTTATTTTACCTTCATCAGAATATAAATTATGGAAGAGAAAAAAATGTTTCTTTTTTTTTTTGCTTTTATGTTGTTTTTTTTTCATTAATGAAGCATACCCGTCGCGTGAGTCAAGAACCGTTCGGGTGTATAAGTCGTATGCATATGGGTATCAGAATTCTAGTATGGCTATGCGGAATTCGGTTTGATAATCTGTATGCGTGTGTGTACGATTGAGTATCTAGTGGGCAACTATTGTTCCACTAGACTTCATAGTTAACACATTGCCTAAAACCGGTATGGTCTTTTTCAAAATATAAAATACATTTTTTATTATACATACTTGGCTCTTTTTATTATCATTTGTTAAACTCTTTTATCGTGTTGATGTAAGTATTTAAGATGTCCCCCACCAGGACGAAATGTGACACAAGGTCTATTTTTAGGTGGGGACCCGAGCACGTACACCCGGGACAGGAACAAAAATCCTCCTCAGCCCCCGCGACCGGCGGTTGCGCTGGCCTGGATGCGGTCACCGATCCCTTCCTCTGGTGCAATGGAACGGCGCGGCCTCGGGTAGCTGTTCCCCAGTGTTGGGCCACTCTTCAGTATGATTTTCTCAGTTGCCCATCTCTCTGACAGAGAAGCCCCTGAGAGCACTCAGCCCAAAGACAGCGACGCAACTGAGAGATGATAAGTAGACGCGACATTACTCAAAATGTATATGTCCGCGTTTTTTTTTTTGTTTTTTTTTACATCGTGGTTAGGTTTGTGTTTATGTGCAAGTTTAAATGTTTGTGTGTATGTGTGAAAAGGCAATCCTATATAAATCAATTAAGCAAAGTTGGTCAAAAGGGGTCAGCACAATATAAAGCAAACAATCACCAAGAAAGCACTCACTACTTAAATCATAATACAAGACTCATTAAATGAAAAATTACATACACATAGAAAGATATCAAATTACATCTAACCATATATAAATACGACAAAATTGAGAAGTAGCAACAAAAAAGCCAACAGCCCTGAAAAGTGAATTACTGCAAAGAGCTCACTAAACTTCGATGTCGGCATGACTGACCCAACACTACTCATTTAAGTGAGAAGTTCCTCCACATAAATTCTCTCTCTCTCTCTCTCTCTCTCTCTATATATATATATATATATATATATATATAAATTTTCCAGAGGATAGCATCCAGTGAGAGCTCAATGTCCAGAACAGAGCAAGAAAATCATATAATATAAAAGGCTCAAACACTAATATTCTCATGGTTATAATTTATTACATTGGAATCGTAATCACGATCCAATTCATCAGACCGACAAATTCAAATTTTTGAATTTGTAGGTCTGAAGAATTGAATCGTGATTACGATTCCAATGTAGTAAATTATAACCATGGATTCTTAGTGTTTGAGCCTTATCTATCTATCTATCTATCTATCTATCTATATATATATATATATATATATATATATATTAAAGAGAGAGGGGGCAAAGGAGATTGAGTTAGATAGATGTAGCCGGCTCTTTTACTCTAATAGCATCATGTCTCGCTTCTCTCACCTGTGGAACTCCCTTCCCTTTTCCTGTTTCCCTGTGAGCTATAATCTCCAGCTATTTAAGTGTAATGTCAATCGACATCTCCAGTTGCCTTGATCTATCCACTACCCTCATCCTTTCTTCTATCACTCCTATTTGATCTTGCTCTACATTTTCTGTAACCCCTTGCGTCCTAGTGGCTTCCCGCCTTGCTTGGGGTGAAATGCTTAAAAAAAAAAAGAAAAGAAAAAAGATAGATTGATATATAGTTGGGAGTGTGTGAACATATGTGCATTTTAAACTCGTAAAAATATTCACATAATATTAGGTTACTATAACCTTAGAAATGATGAAGTTAAGATCCCCAATGTCATGTAAAAAGCCCTCTACAAATTTCAGCCTTTTTTAACTACTCTGTTCTCATTTAAGTCTACTTTCACTTTCTCTTTCATGTATGCATTCCCTGTTACTATCGAAAACACTTTCATCTCCACGTGGCCCAGGCGATACTGATGAATCATTCAACGTGGCCGCTTTTGATTACCGTCCGTTGTCAATAAAAGTCTCCGGGGTGGATGACCAGCGGGGTCAGCAATACACATCTGAAGCAGCCGACAATAATGGCAGCCATGTTTCGCGGCACGAAGGAAAACATGTCGGTCTGTATCAATAACTTCGTCCACATATTCATTAAACACGATCTGACATAAGCACACATACAGAGGCGAACCATCTAACTCACTAATAATCAGTCTGTCACGAGCGCAACAGACGAGATTCGGTATTGAAAACCTCTATTCTGGATTTACCTCCATTTTTTTTTTTATTCTCCATTTCTAGAATAGCTTTCGTTGAGTAGAGTGTTTATTCTTTTCAAGTTTATTGAGGTCAGAAATGTGGCTCACACGATACGCTTTTATGTTCTTAAAAATGGAAGATATGAAAAGAATAACATATTGACTAACCAAAGCTCGGGCTTTTTTATATTCAATAAGAATTCAAGCTGAGTGCCTATTTCGAAATGCCGAAATAAATTCACATTCATCAATCTATTTGATCTAGCGAGCTATCTAAATCATTAACATGTTTGATTTATTTTACTCACTATATATATTTTTGTGATTAAACTATCCAGTTGATTTCTGACTGCCTCTGATTCTAGTTCCGATCAGAATAACTCAAACTGCTTCTGTCTGAATATCAATTAAGCATTCTCCCGTGCTTATTTATAGTAAATCCATCAATCTTATTATTTAGCGAGTTACATATGTTTTTATTGCTTGCAATCTGGTTCACCGGGACGAGCTCGCTTCGCAGCATCTATCTATCTATCTATCTATCTATCTATCTATCTATCTATCTATCTATCTATCACATTTTTTTCATATCTACCAATATATCTCTGTTCATATCTATCTATCTATCTATCTATCTATCTATCTATCTATCTATATGTGTGTGTGTGTGTGTGTATGTATGCATGTATATATATATATATATTTATAAATATCAGTTTGTACATATCTATCTATCTACCTATCTATATATAGCTATATCAGTTTGTTCATATCTATCTATATATATATATCTATGCATCTATCTAAATCTGATCACACCTATCTCATTCTTTTCAAATTTATATATATTTCACGGTTTGTTCATATCTATCTATCTATCTATCTATCTATCTATCTATCTCTGTTCTTATCAATCTATCTCAGTTTGTTTATATCTATCTATCTATCTATCTCTGTTCTTATCAATCTATCTCAGTTTGTTTATATCTATCTATCTATCTATCTATATATATATATATAATTTTGTTCATATCTACCTATCTATCTCTGTTCATATATATATATATATATATATATATATATATATATATATATATATATATATTTTTATCAGTTTGTTCATATCTATTTATCTACCTATCTATATTTCTGTCTCAGTCTGTTGATATCTATCTATTTATCTATCTATGCATATATCTAAATCTGATCACACCTGGCTTATTCTTTTCAAATCTATCTATATATCTTTCACAGTTTGTTCATATCTATCTATCTATCTATCTATCTATCTATCTATGTCAGTCTCTTCAGGCATGTTTACCCATCTCGCCAGATTGATTTTTGAAGTAACTGGGAAAGTTATATGTAGAAAAACCAAATGTTCTCTTCCATAAAACTGTTGTCAGCCTCGGGGATATCGTTGGTGTATCCTCGCTGTCGATTTGATTGCCGGATCAGGTATTTCACATTCAGCTAGCTACCTGGTTTGCCTATTTCGAGACGAAATGCCAACTATTATAGGTAAAAAATAAAATGACATATTGCATCAATTTAAAACAAATTGTGTTTGAAAATTATTTATGTAGTAAGTTCAATCATGGTCTCGTAACTTCAGTTCCGGTCTGTACTTAAGCTGAACTTTGTCATTTGTTCCATATTTGAGAAAAGAAATGTCATTGCTTATAAAATCTAACTTACGACTAAAAAAAAAGACTGATAAAATTTAAAGCCGAATACCTATGAAGAATGTTTTTGGCGCTGTTCTGAATATTGCATTAACAATGATTGGAGAATAACAATGATTATTCACGGTACAAGAATTATGATTTAACCCACATGTAGGGGAAGAATTGGATGCATAACGTTTTCGAAGGGATTTGCACGTTAGTTAAGGTATTTACTTGACTCCCACTAAGTCAAGATATGACACGTTAGTTAATGTAACGGACACGAATGGATTTTGAATTTAGCTTTCTGATTTCTCATTCTGGGACGGCATATATTACACCACATGCACATAATATATGTCAACACATAAAACTTTATTTCTGTTTTCTAACAAGGCTTCTTCAGTCATGGTGATCCTCTTCATGTGGCGTGAGAATGGTACATTATGTGGCCGCATAGAGGGCGCAATTCTATGCAAACGGGAAACCTCTTAACAACCTCCCGTGATAGGGACCGGGGCCTGTAACCAACCCCGTGTACGAGGAATTCCCGGTAGGCGCGGGTCAACAGCCCGCGTCGATCATGTCCCTGCCCTTTGTACACACCGCCCGTCGCTACTACCGATCGAACGGTCCGGTGAGGTCCTCGGATCTGGCCGACGACGCCGCCGGGCAGCGTGCACGTGACGCAGCGGCTGCGGTCTCCTCCGCCGCCGTCTCACGCGCGTGTCGTACTCGCCTCGGCGTTCGATGCCTGGAGAAGACGACCGAACCCGATCGTTTAGAGGAAGTAAAAGTCGTAACAAGGTTTCCGTAGGTGAACCTGCGGAAGGATCATTATCGATGACTTGGAAAACGCGCATGTCGTCGTCGTGTCCGTCGCTTTTCTTTTTTCGAAACGCCGTCGATTCACTCTCTTCCCCCGCCGTCTCCGGGAGACGACTCGACGGTCGGGACTCCTCGTAGCGAGCGTGAATCACCCGATGTCATATATCATAAAACTTTGTTTTTCAGTCATTATGATACTCTTCATGTAGCGTGAGAATCGTAAGTTATTTGGCCGCATGTGGGAGGCAATTCTATGCAAAAACAGACGGGGCTCTGTCGAAGGGCAGAGTCTCGTTTCGGAAAACAACTACCGACCCCGGTTTATAGACGGCTTTCTGCGGCGAAATCCATCACAAATCGGTTAATCCGAGATTAAGTTAATACATTTGGATTTTTTCTGATGTAAGTAATGCCATGAGTGTTGTTTTAGGCTTACGATGTTTGATATTTGCATCCTGACAAATAAAACTGATGATCTGACAACACCTGAGTGATATGTTTTGTGGTCTTCTCATATAATGCGAACTGGTTCAATTTTTTTTCTTTTTTATATTGGCGCTACAGAATCACATACAAAGAACAGTACCAGATAACAGAAACCACATCGCTCGAAGACTTTCAACATCAGCAACAACTGAAATGGATAGCACATATAACTCAAAGACAAAACAGTTGATGTTCCACATTATTTCAAACAAAATATTAGGAATGACCCCACCCCATCGTTAATGGAAAGAGTGATAACAGTTACTGAACTTGAGAAAGCTATTTCCCTGAAAAATTTAAAAATGAAGTTTTGTAAATTCTAGTCGGTAATAATATCAAGTATCTCCCTAAAACGAATGCCCACTTTTACCTTATAAGGAAACGGCTAATATAACCATTAACATTATTGTCAAATAGTTTCAGCTATTTGCTCTCATTTCTATCAAACGTAGTCGGGGGTGGTTGTTATAATCTGTTGGGTTATTTTGATATTCTCCATTTGTTTGTGTCAAGTTATTAAATCCATCTTCTGTGTCTGCCAGATCTACAGTACTTAAGAAAGTGTGTCTTTCTATGTGATACTGTCATATCTATATATATACGAATTGGAAGGATGTATAATTCGCATATTTGACTTTAGTGCAATTGGCTGATTTGATTTTCGTAAGCTGACAGTTGGTGTCCCACATATGCAAACACAGTAATAGTTAATAAGCTTATTGTAAATTTTTATATCTAATGCACATTGTACTTGGTTTGTAGTCAAAGATTGAGTTTTCTTTGATTTCTATCTAATCCTATTTCTTTTGCATGGAGTATTGCTGCTATATCTTTTATACTAATGTTCATACAAAGCCTAACAGTCATTTAAGGTATGAGATTAATGCTTAGTGTTGTGTGAGCGGGAGAAAAGGCAACAAGTGTAGTTCAGGTTACTCAAAAAAGGTAACGGTTAACCCTTGGCATGAAGACGGCTAAAAAAATGGCCGTCGTCTTATACTAGGATTGCCCTAGTTGAATTTATTTTACGATATTTCTTTATATGTCAGTGTAGAATAACAATAGAATAACAACACTTACTGGCGTAAGGGTCCCAGCTAGCGTCCAGTTGTCAGACAAAAATAAAGCAGGTTGTAACTCAATACAAAGCCCGCAAACTGACAGGAATCAAGCTGGTATTTATAAAGAAATACCTCCACTCATGTACCAGCAGCCAATCACAGCCCAAGCAATGGGCTATCCCACTTGAGCACAATGAGTTGCTCCATGGCACCATAAATAGCTCTCTTTCTCAAGGTGGAGGGTTCTTTTCTCAGCTTGTTCGACAAGTGAGTGTTTATCTTGACAACGTGATTGTTCTACAGTCAGATTACAGGATATTTATTTCCAATTGTTCCTTGCCATTTATATGCTACTCACTAGCTGGTAATATTATTTTTTCTAAAAGACGTATTATCAGAGGCCTTGCTGTTGGACGTAGTTTATCGTCATACCCAGGACGCGGATGTAGTTTATCGTCATACTCTGGATGAGTAGCCACTAGACGTATAAATATGCATTTGCCTTTCATTGTATTTTAACATATATATATATATATATATATATATATATATATATATATATATATATGTATATATATATATATATATATATATATATATATATATATATATATTATTATTATTATTATTATTATTATTAATATATTATATGCGCTCAATATCGGAGATAGAGCGAAACCCAGTGTCACAAACTCACATCAATTCAACCAAATATACAGCGGGGGGTAAAATAAATATTCGTACACATGAAAGATTGTATTTTTATAAATGTAAAACCTTAACTAAAACAAATTTTGATGCATTTTATGTGTAAAGATAGATTTTATTAAAAATAGTAATAAACTTAATTCTTATTCTAACAGAAATTAATGCATTTTTTTTCATTTCAACTGATGAAAAAAAAGTATTCGTACAAAACAAAAAAAAAAGCATATTAACTTAATTTAATACTTTGTGGAATATCCTTTATTGAGTTCAACAGCTACCAGTCTATTCGTATACGTCTCAACTAATGATTTGCACACATTGAGTGGTATTTTGTCCCATTCTTCTTGGCATATTCTCTTCAAATTCTTGATATTTGTTGGTGCACTTTTCCCAATTTGAATTTTCAAATATCGCCATAAATTCTTGATTCAAGTGCAAAACATCAATGTTACTTTCAGCTAACCATTTCCTTGTAGATCTAGTGGTATGCTTAGCATCATTATCCAGTTGGAAAACCCAATCAGTATGTAGCCGAAGTCTCTCAACAGAACGCATTAAATTGTCTTGCAGGATTTTCTGGTAGCTTTCGGCATTCATCTTGCCATCTATTATTGATATTCTGCCAACACCTTTTGCAGAAAAACAGCCCCAGATCATGATACTGCCACCACCAAATTTTACAGTTGGCAACGTTGTTCTTTGGTAAGTAGGCTTCACCGTCCTTCCTCCACACATGATTTCATCTATTCATAGTACTTTTTCCCAGAATGAATATTCTTTATCCTTATGCTCACTAACGAATTTTAGCCTAGCATCTCTGTGTCGTTTCAAGAGGAGTGGAGTACTTCCTTAGGATGCGTGATTTCAAACTGTTTTTGTGTAGTTCATTACTTATTGTACGCTTGGTTACTTTAATGCAGATGTTCCTGCAGTTCTTCTCGGGTAACCTGTAGATTTTGTTGGATCTGGCGTCCTAATATCCTTGCTGGACTTAGAGAATCTTCCTCGGAGCACCTGTTCATCTTTGGTTTTCGACGCTGTTACGAGTTTTAAACCTTGCAATGAACGAAGCAATTGTAGTAAAAGGAATATTCATGTTGTTAGAAATCGTTCTGTAACTGTTCCAATCTTTCCAAAGAGACAAAATGTATTGTTTTTGTGAAATAGTCAATTCTTTACCTTTAGGCATTATTAGAACCTTCTCGTAAGAATAGAAGTTGCAGAATGCTCTGATAATGTTTAATAGCGTTAACTATAATTACTGATAACATTACTGGAACATTCTAGAATATACTTTTTTTCATAATTAATTGATTATTTTATTCTAATAATTGATTTGTACGAATACTTTTTTCACCAGTCAGAAATTAAAAAATGCTTTAATTTCTGTTAGACTAAGAATTAATTAAGTTTATTATTATTTTTTAATAGTATGTGACTTTATACATAAAATGTGCCGAGATTTGTTTTATTTAAGGCTTTTGTGGTTTATAAAAATACAATTTTCAAGTATACGGATATTTATTTCCCCCACTGTATATATATATATATATATATATATATATATATATATATATATATATATATATATATATATATATATATATTTTTTTTATCATTTAAGCATAACATTAATATCATATATACACATGTATATATATATATGTATATTTAAGTATTTATCATTTAACTATTAATATCATTAGTACCACAAACACACACACACACACACACACACACATATATATATATATATATATATATATATATATATATAATATTCAGCATTTAATCATTAATATCAATTATTTATTTATTTAGAAAATAATTTTTCAAGTATACGAATATTTATTTCACACCACTATATATATATATATATATATATATATATATATATATATATATATATATATATATATATAGTTAAGTTACGAAGAACTTGTAAACCGAATGGGCAATTCAAGGACGATTAAATCCTGAGAGCTCAATGTGAATACAGAGCTAATATTTAATGAAAAAACAGACCACTTTAAGGTACCATTACAATAATTTATTTCACCAAAATCCTTTTTAAAGGACTCCGGATCATCAGGTAACAATTCTAACAACGAAATGAAAGGAAAATGGGATTAGAAATTGATGGGTAGTGTAATTTTGTAATTTAACAGGGACGGTGATAGTTGTAGTTAACGAGACAAGATAGAGTATAGGGAGGTTAATTTTCATATTTCTCTTAAGCATGCTTTTATATTGGGGTAGGAGGGATATATATATATATATATATATATATATATATATATATATATATATATATATATATATATATTCCGGAGATCCCACCACACGGATTGCATTAGATTCCTTCCTTTTTAAATTTTGGAGTAGGTTGTGGAGTTTTACCTTTGTCAGTCCACTGGCGTTTGAGTTGAGCATTGTTGCGTGTAGTACATTTTTCATCATCTTTTATCTTAAATTTAAGGAACGGTTATATGAGAAGGATGCATATGCCATTACAATTGGTTCCAAAAGGCAAGACTTAATTATGATTCAAATAATAGAGTGGCTATATTTTATTCTTTTATTTCCGTGTTTACTAACGCAGAAATATGGCGACTTTCTTTTTGAAACGAAAGCGAGTAGAAATTTTAAGATTAAATTAAAAAAATAAAAAAAAATGAGGCGAATTATATTTTTTCCGATTCCAAACGAGATTCGACAATTATTTCCATCTTTTCAAAAGGGAACATTTTCTTTCTTTTTCGTTCTTCTTTCAATTATTTTTGCATCCAGTCGTGCCAACGCGAGAATTACTGTTTTGTTTTTTTAAAGTAATTTCCTTCGCAATTTTACACGAAATTTTAAGACATCACACCTTTCCAACTGGCGTAAAAAAGATAGAGACAACACCTAGTTTATCATTAAATAACAATAATAATATTGATGGCGATAATATTGTAACTGTTCGAAGTGTGATAGAATTAAATGCCCGTTCTATTTTCTTCATTTTTGTCGATATTTAATTTCAAGTTAATAGGGCAAAATCCCAACAAATGCGACTTAAAGGTGTTTTATGCCTGTGTCCCAGACAACAAAAATCCTGTATATCTTCCCAGAAAATCAGCGTTGCAAAACTTTGGCACAAATAATAATTAAATACCGATTTATAAATCAAGGTCAGATCATTACTCGCTTTCCACCTTTGATATTTAGCGAGCGCATTAGAATAACGAAAGACGTCTTCTAAAATCCTAGCAAGGTAGGAGGAAAAAGAAAAATTTCGTTAGAAGCAAAGGAAAGAGTGTTAAACAGATTTGTTGTAGAGTAATTAGACATGGTTAAATGTAATTGACGGAAATTACCAACAAACAGAATTGAAAGTTTGCAATAAAAAATACCAAAGGAAGGAAGCGTACACATCAAATATTAATAGTAAGCAAACAATATATGCCACACAAAACTAGGCAATACATCGAAATAAGGAAAAGAAACCTCCAAAAACTAACACAAAAGGGATACAGACAAGTGATGGCAGGGTTTTTACTTCAGGACAAAAGAAAAACAAATATGGCAGATGAGACCGAGAAATGGCCTATCTAAAAGCTAAACAAAAACCAAACAAAGAACATTTGACATCAGAAAAAGTGAAAAATATTTTTTAACAGAAGTAAAAAGATCTACAAGGGATAGGAATTTGTGGAGTGCCATGATCGTCCACAATAAAATATTTGTCGAATATTTGTGTATCAGCAACTAGTGATGATATAATTCACTACTTATAGTCAACCAGAGTAGACTCGTTAACCATTACACAATACTTATCCGTCCAAGAATTACTGAATATTAAGAAATATATTAGGTTGGTGCAAAAATAATGACGTAATAATGCCGTTTTTTGATGTTCTTTGTTTAGCGGCATATCAACCTGTATGGGATATTTAATACAGAGATCTGGATATTTTCAATGCAGACTACGACTATAGATAAAATGTATTGTTGATAATTTTCTTTAAAATGTATTGTTGATAATTCTGTTATATATATATATATATATATATATATATATATATGTATATTAGGTTGGTGCAAAAATAATGTCGTTTTATGACGTTAAGTTGAACGTCAAAAAACCGACATTCTTACGTCATTATTTTTGCACCAACCTAATAAAAAGGAAAACCATCTTAAGTCCTTCTTCAAATTAAGAAAGAAAATCAGTACTTAAAATATTGTGTTTTTTTTTCTACTTGGCTTGACCCCCTACCTCGAACTATCAGAAAAAACATTATTTTACTACTGTAATGATCACGTAAACAGGATTTATTAAACTTGTGGGGAGAAAGTTATACATTGAAAATTGGTTTTAATAAAACGATAAAGACAGAAAACGAAATAACCATACAGGTGAAACATTTCTGAAATATATATTTCATAAAATAAGATACAAAAAGAAAGGTGGCGGTAACGCTGGCTTTTTGTTTATCACTGAATCCGAGCCTTAAATGTTGACATTTAAAAAAAAAAAAGAAAAAAAAAAAGAAGCTCAACTTCCTGATCGACAGGAGAAACGCACATCCCGTTAGGTTCAGTGATCCTACGCAAATATGAAATAAAAGATTTGAAAGAGTTTTTCTTTTTTGAAAATATGAACCTTTAAAGGCACCATTCAACTGCAGTTATGTATATCTTCTACAGCCAAATGTTTGTAACTTCTGCTGCTGCTGTGGTATAAATTCACTTCATTTGTTGATTGATATTTACTAAATTTACCTTATTATGGTGGCTATGACCATATCACGTTAAAACACAGATTTTCGTACGATCACTGAAGTTAAGTAACGTCGACCCTGGTCAGTACCTGGAGGTGACCCTTTGGGAATACCAGGTGCTGTAAGCTTCGATTTACGGATTGTGTAACGGAAAATGGCTCCGAATTAGATATTGGAGATTCGATTTACAATTCCAGTGCTGTTTATTGTATATCATTTAATCGCAAATACATTTGGGAAAGCTATGAATGAAATTCTTCTTTCACAACTTAATTATGGGCTAATAAGTAGGACGTGTATCAGTAAGTCCTTATTATCCCATAAAAAACCCTTAAATTCTAAAAATATTTTCTAGCTTTACATAGCAGGCAAAGGTTTGTTGAACTTTTCAAAAAATAAACAATAAATCAACCTTAACATGGTACATCGGGGGAAAGACAAGGATTCCTAAATGTACAAAAGCTATACTTGGCTGGAAATCTATTGTAATATTTTCAGTGATATATCTATTTGAAGTAGTTAATGCCCTATCACGGGAATAGACGTTACCCGATTAAATAAATAATGCTTATTTATCTAATTTATGCAAGTCTTATGATAAGAAGAGCAATGAATGAGCGACTCGACTAAAAAGTGAAAGGCAGATGACTGGAGAAGATAGATGCCACTAGCAGTGCAGCCCAAGAGGGGAAGTTCTCGTCGTTTTAGCCGTTTTCATAGGAAATATCCACAATCTCTGTTCCTTCTTTTTACCCATTCTCAATCATCAAATAATAAGTTCTGTCGTATGCAGCATGTGGCCCACCTCGGGTGATATTGATTAGGTTTTTGTCCACCTCGGTTATATTGATGTGTCAGTGACGCCAGATGTATCAGCCGGTTAACATGACAAAAGGTTAGTTCGTAACCACCAGGTGCAAATCCGCACCTCGACGGTATTTGAATGTGTGGTCGACTCAGCTACGCGTTAGTTGTGCACGCGCGAGACAAACCGACTGACAGGTAGATATATAAACCCCCACCCGAGAAGCAAGTGGAAAACAGATTCATATCATCCCGAGAATGTACAGTCCCTCAAGGCTAAACACCTATTCGTCGACAGTAACTCCGGATGTGAATAAACAATATCGTTCGATATGAAATATTTAGTCACGTGTTTTTAAGATTGTATAGTGGCAACGTTAAACTTGTAGAGGAATGCGTATTATGCATTTGAAATTTTACTACTAAAACGAGATGAATAGTGACTGTCAAGGGAGGTAATACGAATACACTGCCTGTCAACGGAAGTAATAAGAAGACTACTTGCCATAAAGGGAGATAATAAAAAGACGCTTGCTATCAAGGGAGGTAATAAGGAGGACGAGGAAAAAATATAAAGTATTACCTCTGTTCAATTCTTTCTTTTTATATTCCATGTCGCTACATGATGTCAGCTTACTGCTACCTATGTTTAAGTCCAGCGTTCCACCCCGCAACACATTAACACGAACACACAGAATGTTTCTCGCTGATTTTCTTTGCTTCGATTTCTTTCGATATGTCCGATGTGTATTAACTTCTCCGAGGTTTCTTTCAGAATTACATTTTTCCATATACAGATATACCTCAGCCTACGTCGATAATTAGTTCCAGAGGTCATGACTTATGGCGGCAAACGGCTTAAATCGAAATAACAACATTATAAACCACAAATAAGCACTCGACATTACGCTTAGCATTAGCACTTGCACAGAGATTTTCTTCGGAACCATGAGCAATATACAATTGAAATATAAATGAAATAACGTCAACGGTAGAGCACAGATGTAAACAAGTCTGAATTCAAAATAGGTTTTGGAGCTAAAAAAAGGCAGGCATTGGCAGAATTTAAAATACAGATATCTGCTGAACATACTTTATTATGTTAATGATTTTATTTTTGATTATATATAAATATATATATATATATATATATATATATATATATATATATATATATATATATATATATGGAAGCACTAAGGAGTAATGGATACCGGCATGGATTGAGGAATCGGAAAGCCATTACATTCACTTACGTGCTAATACCCTTGGGAAAGATGTGAATCCTCTTCTTCTCATTCCAGCTATGGGTAAAGAGCAGGACAGACTGGGTTCTATAGTCTTGTATGGCAACCGGTATAGGAGGACAACTCTGAATTCAAAACATGCGGAGGGTCGTTTGGGGACCTTGTGGCATTTAGTGCACCAGGTCTCTGTATTCGTCCCTTCAAAAGTGTGGATGATCCTGCACGAAACCTTCACCACTATAATCAAATCTCATGTGCTGTTGTCGGGCTGTCGGTTTCCTAGGAACTGATCTGCTTGTCCCTCATACGTCGAATTCGACGGGAGAGTCGAGTATATATATATATATATATAATTTTTTTTTTTTTCATCGTGATATGCTGCTTTTTTTACGTGACCTAATGGAGGACCATACATAAAACCCTTTCAGGAAAAAATAAAAAATAAAATTAAAAAATAAATAAATCTCCATAGACACTTAACCAGACTAGACGATGTCATCTTCCGCTTTCAATTTAGACACCCCAACCTTACCCTGACTTGACCTCTTTGAATGTAACTGAGATATTGATACAAATTATTAACTCTTACGCCCCCACTTTTTTTTAATAATTGCTCTAGCCGTTACCATAGTAATTTTAATTTTAATAATGAATATGCTTATAAAATGCATAAATTTCAGGAATTAGTTATTCAAAAAAAATTCGCTTGAAGATGGAACAGAGCTTGGTACTTTAGTTCAATTTAATTCAAATAATTATATTGAAGTTTTCGGCTCTTGTTTTGAAACATGAGAACACTTATGTAGCGATGGAATCATATTTTTAAATAAATGATTATATTTAGGCTCTACTTTTGTATCGAGCACTATTTTTTAAAATAATAAAAAAAATACTTGTAGAACTTTGGACTATTTACCAAACGAGTCCTTTCCCTATTTTCTATATATTTTTTACACACACACACACACATATATATATATATATATATATATATATATATATATATATATATATATATATATATATGCAATATTGTTTAAAATATGATTTTATATGTGTTTATTGTTATTTTAGTGTTTTGACGTTTCTAATATTTTTAACGGCCGACGTAAACTCGAGTAAAACGACGTAAGGCGAGTTTTATTTTCCCATATAATATTTCAGAAAAACCGATGTATCTTCGAAATGACGTAACTCGAAACGACTTAAGCCGAAGTATCACTGTATACAGTTTTCATCTTTTCGTTTCTAACATTTACTGTTCAGAGTATTTTACAACACTCCTTGAAAGGGCAGTTTTTTGGTTTTTTTATTTGTGGTGCAATTGTTCTGTAACTTTAACATAAGCGAGAATCGGCATAATGAACAAGTCACAAAGCATCCATTTTTTTCTAAAGACATTTTCGACACAGCCTTACCTTGTTCAGATTCTGGAGAGCCAATCTACCGCCATTATTAGGCACACGGTTTTTTTTCAGTCCTATTTTTGTCCTTTGTTATTGAATGATTAAGTTAACATCCACACCTTTTCCAGGTTTACGTGGCAGAGATATAACTATCACCCTTAACTGTTATACGTGTAAAAAATCCCCGACATTTTAATTTCTTATAATAAATGATCATTACTTCTTTTTATCGAAGTTTTGCCTAAGCACCCTCTCAGTTTTTTTTTTTTTTTTTCTTTCTGAATGTTCCATCAACATTGGCGTAGGATGTTAAAGTTTAAACTCCAAATAATAACATTTAGCAGAGCTTCCACAGCTCTTCGAATTATCTCGCTCGACAAGTTAAATTAATCCGGGATGAAAACAAATCTTTTTCGTACGCTTTTTCTCTTCGTTGTGCATTTATCCAATTCGTTCGCTATTCTGTCCAAGCTGTTTATTTGCAGAAAAGGTATTTAAGGATTATTTGAATATCCTTTCTCTGCAGAATATCTGGTATGAGCGAAGTTTGTTAACCATCACACAAGTTATATTGCACAGTATTCAAATTGCAGCCAACTATCGGCATCTGTTTATTGCGTCTTCAAGTGTTTATCACGCCATTGTTCTCATTTACATACATATGTGCGTCTAGTTAGATGAGAAATCGGAAATCCGAGCTAGAATACTGTGTTCCTTATGATCATTTCCGCGCAAATACTTCTTTTAACGTCGGCGATAGGTTATATAGTAAAACAGACTGGGCTCTTTAGCGTTGGTTAGCAACCAGTCTAGGAGAAGAAAAACGTGTAGACAGGGCTGCACTAAGGGAAAGGTTCGTGAGATTCACTATGACATTATGATGCTAAGTAAGGTCGGCCTCAGAATAATAGAACTATTCATCAACATAGGTATACAATACTGCTCCATTAACGTGTATCACTTTAAAATTTTGTTAAAATCACAGAAATTTATGCTGAACTACAATGTTATATCTATATACCTATATGGCATTAAATGCTTGTGGAATAATTCGTCACAGTCAAATGTAATACGCAAAAATTCCCAACAAACAGAATTGACAAATTTTCCAAATTTAGAGAATAACATAAAAAGAAAAATGACTGGACAAAATAACACTGAGCAGACATTACATAATCTGCAAAAATTTAAATACAATTTCTATCTTCTGTCTTCCTGATTGCTCTTTCCTCTTCCCAATCATTATTAATGTTTCTGTTATTAATTCTTCCACACCGTGTAACCTCTTGATTCTTAGTGGCTTCACTGTCTTGCACGGGGTGATAGGAATTTTTAAAAAAAAAAGGAAACTTAAAGTAGCAAGGAAGTTTTAAAGAAAATGAAAAGAAAATTCACGTAGAAAATCAGAAAGAGACAATTAAACTTTCTGTAGTACATAAGAAAAAAAATGCATGTATAATTCAACACTCGCTTTCACATCTTGTAACCCCTTATGTCTTAGTGGCTTTATTACCTTTCATGAGCTGATACTGATTAGTCTGTCTGTGGATGACTATATAAGCTCCCGGAAATCCAGCTGAGCTCTCTAGGGTAAGGTTTTTTTAAAAAAAAAAAAACAGCGGCTCCTACTGCAATTAATCATTACTCTTCAAGTATGAATTGAGTTCTC